TTGGTCCGATCAATCTAATTTGTTACATAACAGTAACGAGTCTAACAAACAAAATGGAAAAAGAATGAAAAAAAAATTCTCTGTTCTCTCCAACTTGCTCGATTATTACCGTTGAACGAGTTGATTGAAGTTTGGTCGAACGCAATGTAAACCTTCTAGTGAAAGAAATTGACGACTATTACGATATATAGATATAAAATTTATATCTGAAGACAAAGTAATTAAATACAAAATTTATAATTACGAAATTTTTCGATAAGATGATAGAAATTATTATTATTCTATAATATGTTTAATAACTCTTAAACGTCTTTAGATACCCAATTCTCTTTCCAATACTTTTTCCATTGTTTATATTTTTTTCATTACCAGAGGCACATATATTTGTTTAATTATGCTCCTTAATTTCGATAGAAAGTTTTGTCATATGATTATTTTTATGAAAGTTATAATGAGGAAAGACGCCGATACTGACATATCACTTTGTTTTTCTTAAACAAAAAGTAAAAATAAAACTTGAAAATTATAAGTACAAACTGAAAAGTGTCTTCTATGAGATAATATAAGCAGTTTTTATAATACTGCATGCAATTTTGCAATAATTAATTTTTTCGTAAGATAAGCAAAAATGAGCATCTAACAAAATGGGCTACAAAATTGAGTAGGCAGTAATGCTACGTATTCCTATTCTGTTTCTTTTACAGGAATTATCTGTATGAAGTACCTACAAGTGAATGTATATAAGATTTTCTAGAATCTTTTTACTTCGTTATAAAACATTTTTATTGAATTATATGCATATTTACTTTATGCTGTTCTACAAGATGCAAATATATAATGCGATAGTTTTTCAAGAGTTTTTCCATATATGTACGATTGCTTCCAGTAGAGATATTTGTCACTATAAAGTAACATTATAAAGATTAAGTTAAGCTTACAGTCTGTTTTACAGACAAGTGTGGCGATTTACGTTGTATCACAATTTTAAATTTAAAATCGTATTATGGAAAAAACTAAGAGAAAAAATAATATAAATAAAACTAATTTAGGAAACTACAAGCATTTAAAACGACGTAATATTATCAATAATATAGTCACTGTTATTTTTAAACTACACAACTTGCAAAAAAAAATCATAAGAATTTTATTTTTGCATTCGTAGAATTCGTTTTTAGCTGATTTGGTATAAAAACAAACCACAAATATACGAATTATGAGTTTGTACTTTTTTATTTAACTAAACTGATCAGGATTTTATTTGTATTAATAAAATGCAATAATTAGTTTCTGAAAAATAAGGGAATGTCGCTTTAAAAGATCTATATCAGTATCGGCGACTTTCTTCTATTATACTGTTATTTTCGTAATGTGACATTTTAAAGATAAATAATTATTATTTAAGGATCATTATTTATATAATCAATTTTGCAAATATAGTATTTTTATTTTTATTTTACAAAATTTCAGCTAAATAAGTAATTAGAATTCTTATCTTTTTATTATTTTGTTTATCAATTATTGTTTAGTAATCATGTATAATCAATATGTTTTTGATGTACAAATTTAGTACATTTATTGCATACTAAAAATGTCTAATATTATTTTTATTTTATATTGCGCAGTTTATTAATAATATAAAAATATCTCTAAATCGTATTTGGAGATCGTGCAAGTTATGAAATTTACGTCATGCATATCAGAGATACCTTTGGCAAAAATATATGTATGATGCACTGTGCAGAGAGAACAGGTAATTGGATCGCTACCGCTATTAATGTCGTGGATAATTATTACTAAATTAACGCTAGTTTATTGTTAGTTGTGTTATTAGTTATTTTATACGATCCTGTACTTTATATTACTCTGAAACTATATGCCGTTAATGTACGTGACATCAAAACAATTATGTAGGACATATACACAACGATTACGATCTTGATGAAAATTTTATAAATGCTTTTAAATATTCTATATTAACGTGAAATGAGAGAGAGAGAGATTTCATGATACAGTAGACTATGAAATGAAGAAAGTGTGATAGTTTTATATTATAAATATGCACATTAAATTTTTCTAGAAATACATTTAATTCTATTAAATGTATATCATTTTATATAAATATATATCATTCCGCTATTAAAAATGGCGGAATGATACATATTTATCGAATTTATATATGAAAATGTTTATATTTGCAGTCAATTTTATGTTTGTATTCTATATTTGTTATTTTCTAGAAAATTTTATATATTTTTATCTCTTGGAAAATGACTTTTCTTTGATAGCATACGAAGCGAGACGAAAGAAAATCCTTCACAAAGTAAGCTTCAAAGAACTAGTTCCATACATGGCATCCCTAACGACCAAGTAGTAATTTTCTGGCTTCGTATACGTCACTTCTTTCGTCGTATCTTGTCCTTTTTGGTTAAAATTAATACTCTCTAATTTTAATTTAAGTCACATTTTTAATGAAGCCGATATGCGCAGACAAACTGTTTAGTAAAAGAAAAATGAAATAAAAAATCTTCACCTAGTTACTTAAATGCTCAACATTCATTATTAATACAATAAAATGCAAATTCATTCATATATAGTGTGTGTAAAAACGATAAGGCTTCGTAATATTTCTTTAGTGTTTCTGACACTAAATGTTGTTTTCTTCAAAAGCGGCATTTTTTGTACTGTAAAAACAGCGCAGTCTTTAGAGAAATTTTTTAATTTTACATTTAGGGTAAAACCACTAGATGTGGAAAAAATCAGGCATAAATTCCGTATCACTTTTTATATTTAAATAATTTTAATATTTCTCATTAAATGGTACATATCACAAAATTTTTTAGCATTTATTTTATCACTTTTAAATGTTAATTGAATTTAATTTATTAAAAACAGTGGCACACATTTTATTGATGTCATTAACTGATTAAATTTGCGAAATTAACTAACGTATGTATTTTTAAAAATTCATTCAAAGTGTAATATCATAAGAATTGCCTTATGCCTTTTATAGTAGGAAGTAAAGCATAAGATTTCATTGAAAAAAATTAATGTTATGTTTAGTTGAGATTAAATATGTCCGGAGTGTTGCTTAATCACTATGTTATACCGATAGTTTTATTGTGTAAATTTATTATAAATTTATTATAAAAACACTTGTCAAGTCTTACAAATGCTATCCCGAAAAGATTTATTTGTTTTAAGTATCAAAATAGAATATAAAATGTACATGTGTATATGCAAAAGATATACTATTCGTAATTTAACTATTTTTTATTGCTAAACGTTTAATTTTCATCAATGTTTGTAAATTCTCATTGATTTTTAATTGTCACTAATTTTAAATAAACTTGAATATGTTAAAATTGCATTATTCTCCACAATTAGACTCTAGAATTAGATATGGATCATCAATTATAATTTCGTTATACAGGATGTCTCACAACTACTGAATTTCCTCTTAAAGACATATTCTTAAGATAATTTTGAGACAAAAACTGTCTTTCTAATACAAAACTGTCGATTACAATAATTTTTTGAATTATAAGCTAACTTTAAATGCTTATAAGTAAAAAACCATTTTACTTTTAGAGCCTCTATTATTATTTCTGGATTCTTTTGAACATTCTAAAACGAAAATTCTAATACGATTATTTCTAATATATTAACTGATTAAATTTGCGAAATTAACTAACGTATGTATTTTTAAAAATTCATTCAAAGTGTAATATCATAAGAATTGCCTTATGCCTTTTATAGTAGGAAGTAAAGCATAAGATTTCATTGAAAAAAATTAATGTTATGTTTAGTTGAGATTAAATATGTCCGGAGTGTTGCTTAATCACTATGTTATACCGATAGTTTTATTGTGTAAATTTATTATAAATTTATTATAAAAACACTTGTCAAGTCTTACAAATGCTATCCCGAAAAGATTTATTTGTTTTAAGTATCAAAATAGAATATAAAATGTACATGTGTATATGCAAAAGATATACTATTCGTAATTTAACTATTTTTTATTGCTAAACGTTTAATTTTCATCAATGTTTGTAAATTCTCATTGATTTTTAATTGTCACTAATTTTAAATAAACTTGAATATGTTAAAATTGCATTATTCTCCACAATTAGACTCTAGAATTAGATATGGATCATCAATTATAATTTCGTTATACAGGATGTCTCACAACTACTGAATTTCCTCTTAAAGACATATTCTTAAGATAATTTTGAGACAAAAACTGTCTTTCTAATACAAAACTGTCGATTACAATAATTTTTTGAATTATAAGCTAACTTTAAATGCTTATAAGTAAAAAACCATTTTACTTTTAGAGCCTCTATTATTATTTCTGGATTCTTTTGAACATTCTAAAACGAAAATTCTAATACGATTATTTCTAATATGAAAATATCGAGGCTATAATAGTTTTCGAATTACACACTATCTTTAACCAATTATAATTCAAAAATTGTAGCCTCGACATTTTTGTATTAGAATTTTCGTCTCAAAATTACCTCAAGAATACGTTCTTAAGATAAAATTCGGTAGTGAGACCCTGTAGATATTACGATATGCATGCGCAAATTATTTTTATTATATTAATTACGGGATGAAGTAACGTCACCAAAAAAGATAAAGCATTTGATGAATTGATCCGCGATTAATACATGAGGTCTAATTGTGGATAATTGTCATTACTTTGTTTAATTCAAATTAAAACATATAAAACGTCAATGAAATGGAATACAATCATCCATAATGTAATCTTTATGATCAATCATGACTATTAAATATTTTGTTAATTATTTGATATTGTTCTAGATAAAAAAAATGAATTTTTTTTAAGGAATAATCCACAACTAGTGGTTTTACTCTATATTGCATTTATCATGACCGATTTAATATAAACGACAGTTACATAAATCAGATATGCATTTTGTAATTTTCGCGTTCCACGTACAACGTAGCGATAAACTGTATTACCTTTTGTGCGGCAGATTGAGGATCACGCATGCGAAGCTCGTTGACTCCGGAAACTACAGTTGCGTTCCTACCGTGGCGGAGGGAGCAAGTGTCAACGTACACGTGATCAATGGTAAGTCCATCAGAAATACCATAACTGATCCACACGACAAGATAATCCGTATACATGCGTCGATCACTTATCCCACTATCCTAGGGTTGCTGTAATACACCCGACCTTTATTTATCCCAGTGCATTAACCCTTTCACGCATGATGTATCCTTTACTGACTTACTGATTTAATCTTCTCGCACGCGTGCGTACAGGAAATTAAAATTAAAGCGGTACTACTTCTGGCCGAATCGTTCGTAATAAATTTCAATTCTCGATTGCTTAAGTAAATTAAATTTAAGTCGCCGTTGTTTTCTCTCATCGATCAATTTTGATGTCAGTAATTGATTGTGTTCTATTTTATGGACTTGCGTACACACGCACAAAGGCAAATTTTATTTTCTTTTTATTTCTATTCTGCTTTTATATCTTCGCATTGAATAAAAGCTGGAGAAATAGAATAAAAGGGAAGTAGAAAACTAAAAAGTTTACAAAATAAAATGTTTACTCTGCTCTGTTTTGATTGCAATGTAATATGAATCTTAATTATTGTAACAAATATTTATCGCACATATGTGTGATAATTTTTTAATTACAAATATGTGGATAAATCGAAAATTTTGTTTACTTTCTCTGAACAAAATGGGCAATTTAATGAACTGTGTGTAAATCACACATACGAAGCACATTGTCGATTTATTGCTCGCATAACTGTTGTTTTTCGCAAGTGCTTTTCCGTTCGCCTTATGATCATCTGGCGACGTAAAAATAGTCTGATATCGCCGGCAGCATCGCGTTTTCTGGTTGGGTCTACAAAAAACCGTAATATCTAGCGAAGAAAGAAGATGAAAGGCAGAACGTGCAGGCCGTTTAAAAGGCGGGTTCTCTGGTGGTCTCATAGGCGATCGAACTCGAATTACAGTCGATTGTGAGAAAAGCTCGACCATCCTCGAGCCTCGTTAACTGCCTCGTAATTGACAAAAATCGCAATCAATTAAGTTACGAATAAAAAATATTTTTATCATGCTACTCTATTTTTCAATAACTTTCTACTTTTATAATTAATTCATTTATATTATTATTATTATTATTTCAAGATTTATACAAATTATATAATTAAATAACGTTATTTCAGTTTAAATTATCACGATTAGTCGCTTCTCATTTCAATGCAAAATGATAAAACCATTTATATTTTATTCATTAATGCCATTTCGTAATTTTTTCATATTTTTTATTTATTTCGAAACTTTATTAATTTTGTTATATAAGGGGAAGAGGAGTACAAAATAAAACTCAATAAAAAATAACCATGAAGAAAAATTATCTTTTTGTAGAATACTCTTGTCGAATTGATCAACATGAAATATGAAATAGAAATAGACGAATGAGAAACTGGGATGATACGCCTGTAATTTGCAGGCAGATCATCCCTGATATCAGCTTGATGTACCATTTTACCGCCGGCTATTATCTTCCTTTTATTATGCCGGCTCTAACGAAACGTAATTCAATTCCTCACTGAGGTTCGACCTATTCGACGTCCACCCACCTTTTCAGCAGTGATCTCTTCATTCAGCCAAATTCCCGAAGGATACCGTTCCCAAGTTGCACCCAAAGCACGTACAGTATGCGTAACAGATATTTTTCTATAACAAGCCACCCCAATCTGATTATTTTGTGCCTCTTATTGTAAATCCGAAAAGGAATGAGATTCTCTGCCGCGGCGAAATTTCGATGCTACGTGAAATACCACTTCACCAGCACTTAAAGCGGATGATGTTAAATAACTATCGCGAAAATAATCTTGTGCTAATTGTAGTAGAGAAAAGTCGTCGATACTGACATAGATCTTTTAAAGAGACATCCTCTTATTTGTCAGAAACTAATTATTACATTTTATTAATAATGAAGACAAGAACTGATTTGTTTAAATAATTAAAGGAATAAAAATTCATAATTTATGTATTTATGGCTTATTTGTCAAAATCAATTAAATACGAATTCTACAAATGCGAAAAAAATTCTTACAGTTTTTTTTATAAATTGTGTAGTTTAAATAATAGTGTTTATATTATTGATAATATTATATTATTTGTAGTTTTCTAAATCAGATTTATTTATATTATTTCTCTCAATTTGGAACAATCTTATAACATAACGATATTATAGAGATGTTATTCTATAATTTTTGATACGTTCTGTTTCTCGAATGTATCGCGCGGTTATGCATAGCAATTGAAAATTTACGGCATCACTGAATTTAACGAGCGTATTTCAACGAGCGCATTCCAGAATGAACAAAACAATGCAACGCGCGTGTTTTACATTAATACGAGCGTAATTAATGTGAAAACGTCTTTGTTGTGTGTAATTCGCAATGTCGGAGATATAATAAACCGTTTTACTGCCTAAGCGTATTTGATTAAATCTGTTTGCAACTTGTTTGTGTAATCCAACTATTATACAATGATCATTCTTCGTTTCAATAGTTTTCAGTCAATTTTTTCTCGAAAAACAATATTTTATACAAAAGCCATCAAAGAAAGAGATTTTAAAACTCGTTCCGTTAAGAAATAAGACATTTATATTGCTTACTTATTGTGAGATAAATAAAAACATACACATATGTGAAATTTTTTGTTACATGGTATATCTTTATAAATTTTTGATTGCGATCAATTTATATGATATAATATATCATGCAAGCAATTTTCCAGCCATTCTGCATGATATTCTTAGATACACATTTGCATTTGACGAGAATGTAACTGTTTAAGGAAATGCTGGAGTGATCAAGTTATTGACATTACAGTAGTATAAAAATCTCTGAATAACTACACGGAATAAAAAATTCTTTTATAGGATTAAAGTAGACGTAAAATTAGAAGGTGGTGCAGTGGACTTTATACTAAAATCGAAAAAAAATTAAGTAATTTTTTAACTTTTTTCGATTACTATAAAGCCCATTATGTCTTCTCCTAACTTTGTGTCTACTTTAATCCTGTAAAAAGGATTTTTCATTCTGTTCAGTCTATTTGGAGATTTTTATACGACTGTAATATCGATAATTTGGACACTCCAGCATTAGAAAGAAAATAATACCCATTTTTACATTTTACTTGCCTACAATTGGAAAGGAATTAAATGCGTTCATTAAAACTCTCGTATTTGCATCTTCATAGGATAACAATTTTTATTGCGCGACTTTTATCGCGTATTAAATGTTTTATGTGATGATGTTCAATGATTCGTGCTGAATAAATTATAATGAAATTACATTATTCTTTTTTATTGTAGCTGCAAGTGGAACTTAGAATTAGAATTTCAGCACACATTTTCTGACACAGGATAGCAAGATCATACAAGTGACAGTTTTTTTTTTTTTTTTTTTTGGCATCATCGATCTTTACCAATATATAAATATCAAACTTTAACATTTGTTTTTACATATAACATGATTGTTTATGTTTTATGCAGTGCATTTTACTTATCGCAAAATCGAACGCTTATTCAAACGCTTATTTATCTACGTTGAATGTTATAATGGAAATCTTTAATTTGCAGTCATAAAAGCTGTCGTTGTCATGGAAAAGATAAAAGACAATCACTCTTCCTTTTATTTAGAATGTTTGCGATTGTAATTTGATAAAATACAAAGTTTCGTATCGTTTTGTTACCGAAAATTACTTTCCTTCCTCCATTATTCATTACACCGCATAGATTTGCGCAAAACACAAATGTGTGCGCGTTTAATGATTTTGCGTAAAAGCTCCAACTGATGTTCAAGGAAATCAGCATGAAATGCTCTCATTTGTCAATTACATGGAAATTGACGAATGAGAGAGCTATGCTGTGCTGAATAATTCGTGAATTTGTTCGAACGGTTATAAGGTGCGCTCTGAATGCAAACGCGCGGAGTTCGCTGACAGTTCGCGCATACGTCAAGTAATTAGATGCGGCAGACATGCGGAATGAGCGGAAAATCGCACGCGGTTATTATTATCGCAGCAGCGATTTTTCCTCCATCCAACATGATTGACTCTTGACGATGTCGCGGTCACTATCGTCTCGTTTAAATTCTAATTTTATTTCTATCGCTGCGATATGCGTATTTATGAGTGATAATGAGCTGTTCCTAGAATTTTAATCAGAGATAAAAATTTATCTTTAATATAAAACTTATTAATATATAATACTTATATTGTAGTCAGTTTTCGAAAATCTTCAGCAAACTTTCGTACACACATAACGTCCTAAAAACGTTTTTTATCACTTATGTTGCTTGCTAAAATTTAGGGATGGGGAAGTTCCTCCTCCTTATTCCCCCTATGTCCATATATTATTTACTATATTTAAAGAGTTTAATAGATTTGTTTCTCTAATAAAAGGTCTATTTTTTTGAAACATTTAGATAAAATCCTTTATTCTCCACAATTTTAAGGAAATATGATACATCGAATTTTATAATATTATCGTACTGTTATATCTGTGTTATGTAATTTGCACTTTTCATGTTGTACACAAGAAAAATTAAATTTTTTTACGCATATGACAGATAACAATATCCATTCCCAATGGAATCGCACTCAATCAACTTTTGACATAGTTGATAATTTTTATCAGTGCAAAAAGTTAATTACTTTACACAGAACCGATTAAAGCGGTTCACGTTTTATAGCACAAAATTCTTTCATTACTTGATATGTCGACAGATCAGTGAATCGGTAAATTTTTACTGTGTTATCTACTTGCGCAAAAAAGTTGCACTCTTGCACGATCGTCAATCGAGGATCGCTATTGATTTATCGATGAGTACATTTGAATGCCAAGCTATCGAAGGGATTTCTAATGCATTGTTCGTTTCCTTTCGTATGATTTCATTATTGATCGCTTTGACTACACTAAATGCATAGAATTTTCACGATACACGCGCAGATAGAAAATGCAAATAAATTTAATTCGCAGGAAGATGAAGAATTAATGCACCATTGATCCAATTTGTGCTCTCATCGATGTAG